CGCCTGGGTAGCTCAGCTGGCTGGGCGCTGACTTGTGCTCAGGTCACGATCTCGCGCTCCGTGAGTTCAAGCCCCGCGTCGGGCTCCGTGCTGCCAGCTCGGAGCCCGGAGCCGGCTTCCGATTCTGTGTTGCGTCTCTCTCTCTGCCCCTCCCCTGCTCGCGCTCTGTCTCTCGCTCTGTCTCAAAAAGACATAAAGATTTTCAAAAATTTTAAATTGCTTAAAAAGGACAAATACAAATAAAATGAAAAGCTGTCCTTGCTTCCATAATCTCTCTGCGTTAGCGAGGGGACTGAGATCCTCGGGGACTTCCGAGTGGCTGGCCGAGACGCTGCACCGTCTGTTGGCCGGGAGATCGGCAGTCCTGTTTCTTGCACACGCACTGTAGAACATACCTCAGCATTTTCTGAGTCGGGTTCCGGTCATCGTTGGGTGTCACTTAAAAAGTGGGATGTTAGGGGAGGTGGAGGGGGATGACCCTCCCTCCCCCGCCCCGTTTCTGTCTTCTGGTCCGGATGATGCTGTCACTGTGGAGCGCCCAGCCCTCCCATGGCCAAGGGCTGGGCACCAACTCGACTAAGACAACCGGGTTCTCTGCTCTCAGACTTTGGGATGGGGCGATGCATAGAGAGAACTAGAACTCAAGCTCCTGCCTTCGACAGCTGGGCCGGATGAGACAGCCCTGCACCCTCACACTTGCCTTGGCTCGTGCTGCTTCCCCATCCCTGTGTAGGCTTTTCTGAGTGACCTGTTCACCTCCCCATATGTTTCCAGTGGGTTCTGCGATAAAGGAAATTGAAACACCGGCTAAAGTCACTGATGTAGTTTCTGCTTGCCTTCTCATGACTCTCATATACATTAAGGGGCTTGGTACATGTCTAATTTAGCGTTACGGCACGCAGCAGAGGTAGAATTCGGCCGACCTCACAAACGTGGAGTCTCCGGGCCACACAGAAGAGGGATGACAGGAGATGTGTCCCTCATCTAAGGTGGGGGGGCGTCTGCTCCTTGGTGCCAGCCGATGGCTTAATGGCTTGTATTACAATGAGTTTGATTTGCCAGAGGTTCTGAAATGAGGACAATCACACCTGAGCAACGGCAGCGTCCAGATGAACCGCGTGCATCCCTGGTTGCAAGCTTTGACTGGCAGGTGGTCTGGTTGGATTTCGATCCCCCTTGACCATGTTTCAGCACACAGTGACCCCTGCAGTCCCGGGCAAACAGCTTTGCCTTTCTGAGCCTCAGTCTTGAGATCTGCACAATGGCACACGTAATTTTATCCACCTCATAGAGTTGTTGTAAGGATTCAGTGCTGATAGGATACTGGTCAGGCATTTCAGCCCAGAGTCTGGCACGTGGTAAGTGCTCAATAAACAGTCACTCGATCTCAGGCCTTTATGTGTGAGCAGAGAAAATTCGCCTTAATTCCCAGGAAAATTAGATCACTCCGGGTATGGTGCAGATGGTCGATGCCCCAGGGCAGGGGCTGGTTAGGGTGTCGTTCGCTGTTGTACCCCAGTGTCTGGCACAGTGTGGGGGTTGAAAATTTTTAACTGATTGTTGAAGGACTCAAAATGTTGAAACTTTCAATTCTTACGAGTAAAAGTGTGCAGAATGTCATGAGACGTTGTATACTACAATTCTATTAACAATGAATGTAAAAATTCACCCATCCATCCATCCATCCATCCAACCATTCATTCATCCATCTATCTATCCATCCACCCACAATCCACCTATCCATCGTCCACGCATCTATCCATCCATCCATCCATCCATCCATCCGTTCCATCCCATCTATCCCTCCTTCCCTCCCTCCCTCCATCCGTCCCACCATCTATCTGTCCATCTATCCAGTCATCCATCCATCCATCCATCCAACCATTCATTCATCCATCTATCCATCCATCCACCCACCCATGTCATCATCACCCCACTTACATCCACTATCCGTCATCCCCAGAGTGATGGAAACTTACATTAAAATGCATCGCTCTCGCCATCATAAAACTTCGCCATCACCGATGCACGCCGTCTGTCTTGTTCGTCCGTCCGGTCGTCGCGTCCCGTCGTCGTCCGATTGACCGTTCGTTTCGTCCACGTCTGTCCGTCAAGTCGCGCGCGCTTGCGTCCACTTTTTGTCGTGATCACTTGCGTCCATCGTCGCATCGCGTCTGCCCCTTGCGTCCCGTCCCGACCGTCCCGATACCGTCGGTATTGACCGTCGTCGATGTCGTCCGTCCGTCGTCCCTTGCCCTCAAAATTCCGTTCGCTTTGTCCGGCCGTCGTCGTCGGTGAGTCGCGTCCGTTTCGTCATCGTCCCCGCGCATAATCTGTCGTCCAGGTCGCCACTTTTGTCGTCTTGTCCGATCCGTCCCGTCCCAGATGCGATTCGTGGAAATCCGCTACTTGTCACTTCCGTCTGTCCGTCCAAAAGGTAAAATTCCCGAATTCAAATCGATCGTCCGGGAATCGTCGATGCTGTCCGTCCTTTTTCCTCTGCTTGCGTCGTCCGTCCGTCCATCACCCCACTCTATTCATTCATCTATCCGCCTTTATCCATCACCCTCTATCTCCATCCAATGCATCTATCCATCCCCATCCATCCACCCATCCATCCATCTATCCATCCATCCATCCACCTCTACCCATCCCAATTCCATCCAATCCATCACCCGTCCACCTATCCTCCATCCACTGACAACATCAGTTGTAGTTTTTATATTTGCTACTGCAAAATGTGAAAAAAAGAAAGAATTAAGCGTTGCTCCATTAATGCCCATCTAGTAGCGTCCACCACCTCATACATTGGTGGGTTTGGAAGAAGTTACCTGACATGCAAATGAGGAGTGTGTGTACAGTGCTCAGTTGCCTGAATCACACCCCAACTCCTGCCTAAATGACCTGGGAACTGAAATCATGGTTTTACCCATAATGCATTGGCAGTAATTACTATCCCTACACCTTAGGGTGGGAGTCTGAATGAGGTGTATGTATTCCAGTGCCTGGCAAATGATGAGTAATCCAAAAATGTGAGCTTCTATTCCTGAGAGTTCAGGCAACACAGGGCTGCACATGCCTGCCTTCTGTACTGGCTACCTTCTCCCATCAGGATCCCCCCCAACAAGTGTGAAGGGTGAGCTGCAGCCTTGGAGCAGCCCTGTCCCCTCGTGCATTCTCTGTGCCCCTTCGGCTCCCGGCCTTTTTTCCATAGCAGCTATAAGGGTCTTCAGCCCTGGATCTTGATGTTACCCAGCTTCTGGGGGGCCCAGTGGACCTCCTACTCCCGACTCCCCAGGTCCTTCTGTCCCAGCGGCCCATTGACTGGTGACAAGGCTGACCGACGTGACCACCATGCCCGTGTCTCACTCCTCTTTTTGTAGGGAGTCAGACCTGTTCCTGCTTTCCTGGCCGCGCGCGCTCTGGGCCTCGGGAGGAGGAGGGCTGGCTGGTGTTCGACATCGCGACGCAGCAACCTGCAATTGGTCAACCGGCACAATCTGGGCCTGCAGCTCTCGCGTGGAGACCTTGGTGGGTAGGTGTCCTGTCACCACCCCTCTAGTTTCGACACAGCCTGTGCTCCTGGACTCCACGTAGGAGCTCAGCAGCAAGTTCATCTTTGTTCCCATCCAGGGAGGGGCTGGGCTCCTCGACCCCTGCCAAGCAGTGGCACAAGCTGTCTGCGTTTTGATCCAAGCAAGAGTACTTTTCTTGCTGGGAGGCGATGACTTACCCGTTAGCCCACACACGGTTGGGGCTGAGCCTCATTGTGCAGAGCAAGGTCCCGCACCAGCGGGGCTGGACATCCTCAGAGCACAGACTCTGGCCATTCAGGCCTGCACTGTTAAAACCGGCACTTTATTTAAAAAAAAAAAATGTTTTTTTTTTTATCGGTT